TGGAGAAGGTTAGCATACAGAAATAGAAAACTAGCATTGCGTGTATAACAGTCAGTTTTCATCGATCACTTTTCTATCTTTAGCTTGTACTACTTTTTAACCCTCCTAAAGTTTGAAGTGCTCCACCATTACACATGGCATAATCGTACGTGTTTTCGATTACGTTATTGAATTCTCTGACGTATCGAAGGGCACGCGTTTGGGTCTTTCATTCTGTAAAAGACGCGTTGCACTTATTCCAAATTGCTTTTCAACCTATGTTCTCTAATGAATATAAAATTCTGGAATCTCGTGATCCACTCTATGGATCACTGAATCTGTTGCAAGCCTATAAATGAAAAGATCAAGAGATCACGATATCTAAAGATCTAAAGGGCACGCATAGGCTTACAATGTGTGGAGATCGAACAGTACTCGTAATATATAAATCCAACTCGAGTTACGGAAGATTTATATCGATCATCCCAGCGATCCAATCACGACGACCCACTTTCCTAGTCGCACGTGTTCGATACTAACAGGATCGACAGTTAATTAAGTTACCATCGGTACGATCTTTCAATAGCGTCGATTTAGAAACCGATCAAATGATTCACGATACGATCTCTGGGAACTCTAGAGAAGAGAAAAAATACGCATGGACAGCATTGACGTCATGATCGCGCTTATGCTCGCTCCTCGTGCCGTGTATCGTTTCATTGATCCCGGCCAGAAGAGAGGAGATCACGTGGCGGTAGAACCAGTCGAATTCCCGGCGAAGCCGATGCTAGTCGATTTCTTCTCCTTGTAGAGAGGGGCATCATTTTTTTTATTCCATGGAGAATACCCGCGAGGCGTTCCGCGAAAAAATAGGCATGATCGAGTGATCGACCCTCGTTCGAAGGAGTTTGGTACGAAAGAAATTTCATTGCGTAATGCGACGGGAAATCATGATGATGCGTGTCTTCGTCGTATCGGCTTTCGAGATACACGATACCTTTGTCACACATGGCAAATCGGTAGTTTAACATCCAGACACCTTTAATCCGAGTCGACGACGATGCTTCGTGCACTCGGAGAGAAAATTTTTATCACCATTTTGACGTAAGTGTTATGTTCACTTACGTGTACATTCATGGTTCAGTGAAATTAAACTCACAGCCCGTAGGATGTTTATTCCCCTCTTTGTGACTTGTATGTTGTGAAACGCGAGTTCATTGCATTCATAGCCCAAAAATTGTAAAACGTATTGACGGTTGTTCTGACTATAAGTTAAACATATTTGAAATTTTCTACAATAATAACTGTTTATATTAGGAACGTTAATTACAATTACCGTGCAGTTAATATTTATTGATTACGTTAATAACGGCGAGCAAATGAGCGAATCCACAAATGTTAATTGATACGTCAGACAGAGCGGTGAACGACGGTGAGCAATGAGGTTTCCTCGCAGAACGCTCAGCAATTAGTACATCCAGGAAGCGAGAGCGTAATCGGCCAATCGTTAACGTTAATCTATTGATCGTGGAGCTATCGAGCTACGATTCGTGCGATCACGGCGCGTCGTGCTTCTCGCTGGTATCTCTAATTTATCCTGGTTTACTGAAATAGTGTATCTGTTACCGTTAAAGTGTCTAATTCAGTTAATTTATGAAATAACTAGGTATTACATTAAAGAACTAAACGTTTTGGTTCAGTTATTTAATAAATTAACGGTAACAAATCTACTGTTCTATAACACTGTTCCTTTTTCTAATTTTTTTTTAATTAATCACATACATTATTTTATTTTACTAAATTACAGTTTTATAATGATAATCTTGCTTCTAACAATAAAAGGCCTAGAAGTAAATCGGCAATTAATTGACAATCTAATATTCATGTCGATCTATCTATATTTATATTTACATGGACACGATGTGTTAAGAATTAATTATAATGATGAGTTCTGGTTTGCAAAATGCAGGGTGTCCCAGAATGCACGAAGACGAGAGGGTGTATGCTAAATATCGAGTTTGAAGAGTGCAGGTGAATTTTATAGATTAAGTTTTCAGAACTTTTCATGAAATAATTAAAATATCATCCTGACCGGAACAGCAGGTATCTTTTTACTTCAGAGGGTGCTCTATCATCTACTGAATCAATTTATCATAGAGAAAGTGCATACCGATCTCGGGAAGGGTTTTCATATTAATGAGTTCATCGAAAGTGGTTTTGGGGCATATGTAAATTCGTTTACATCACGTGGCGTAGTTTAATTTCCTGATTATCGCAGGAACTCGAATTACGAAAGGGAGTCGGCGCTGGTGTATACGACCTCGGCCGTAGCGCGTCTGTTACTATTAGCGGCACATGGAAATTTTATAGAGAAAGTACCGTTACACCGAACTACGTCATAATTCTAATAAAATGAAGCGAACAAGATAGAATAGGGAAACCAGATAAAATGGACTCTATTAAATTTCGAATAACGAACTTGGTGCGATTACCGTATCCGACTCAATTACCGTGGGTCTCAATGACTATTAACTGAGTATGTTCTGAAAACTGATTCTCATTACGTACAGAATTTCGTTAAATATCTGTAAAGCTTGCGAATCATTTTAATTCTAATGCTATTCTCATGTAAATATGTTCGCTATGTAGATGTGTAGGTAATTAATTTTCGAGAAAGTAAAACGAACTTTTGAGAAAGTATAGAATTTTCTAAAATGATAAACGTCGTACGTAGAAGAAAGAATTTCTCTGATTTCTCCTAATTATATGTATTTCTAAAAATTTCTCACGATACTCATTTTTATTAATAAGGTCAGCATCCTGTGTATCATTCTTTATATTTTTTAAAATGTTTCACGTATACTCAGTCCGGACCAGGAGATCGCATAAAATTTCATCTCGCACACTGTATCCTTTTAATATCGATTGTTCTGTTTCGAAATTTCTGCCTCGGATGAAAATATCTCCTTCGTTGGTTTTTCTTAATTGATATGAGAGCTAAGAAAAAAAATTGTTTCTGTGATCGGAATAACAGTTCCAGTGAACGTTAAAGGATCGTCTCTATCGATCCATTCTAAGCTTGCGAGATCATAGATCCGAGATCTGGTTCAGAAGATCTGGGTCGACGTTGCGCAAGTCGGGATGGAGGCCGAAGTTTCAACTTGAGGCGGCACGGTGGTATCCACGTATTCACGGTGCTCTGTTGCAACGGGAACAAAAGGGGACAGAGACGAATGGCCACGGCGAAAACGGTCGAGAATAATGTTACCGGCGCTGTCGCGAGACCGCACGAAATTTCGGGTGAAAGCCGATAAGGGATACACAATAAAGGCCGGCGAAACGTATCGACATTTCGCGGGCTGATTTTTGCAGAACCAGTTAATCAAAAGTTCCCGTTCTGTATCTTTTTCGCTCTCTCATCTTGAGAGTCCGCGACTTCTTACAATTATTCTCCGCTTAGCCAGGTATATTTTGTTTCCTTGAACGCTTGCATACGTAAGAGGATATCGCCATTTACGTAATGCGATAACAATTGATAAATTGTGGATTCTATTTGTGGAATAACGTTGTAGATACCAGTAGCAATCCATCAACTTTCAATAATCATACTTTGCATTCATGAAATAATTAAAATATCATCCTGACCGGAACAGCAGGTATCTTTTTACTTCAGAGGGTGCTCTATCATCTACTGAATCAATTTATCATAGAGAAAGTGCATACCGATCTCGGGAAGGGTTTTCATATTAATGAGTTCATCGAAAGTGGTTTTGGGGCATATGTAAATTCGTTTACATCACGTGGCGTAGTTTAATTTCCTGATTATCGCAGGAACTCGAATTACGAAAGGGAGTCGGCGCTGGTGTATACGACCTCGGCCGTAGCGCGTCTGTTACTATTAGCGGCACATGGAAATTTTATAGAGAAAGTACCGTTACACCGAACTACGTCATAATTCTAATAAAATGAAGCGAACAAGATAGAATAGGGAAACCAGATAAAATGGACTCTATTAAATTTCGAATAACGAACTTGGTGCGATTACCGTATCCGACTCAATTACCGTGGGTCTCAATGACTATTAACTGAGTATGTTCTGAAAACTGATTCTCATTACGTACAGAATTTCGTTAAATTTTATAAAAACCCACTTCACGGTCTAAAGAATATAAAAAGACATTTGTGAAAAATACTAGACGATAGACGTTATAAATAAAAACCTTAAAATGTCTGCAAAGTGACAGCAATTGTTCGAAATGGAGATTAATTTAAAATCACTCAGGCTCGTATAAAAAAATCATAGCTCGATCTGCAACAGGAACGTTTCTCCAAGTAGGCAGGTACTCCCAGATACATCCACCAACATAGAAATCGATCGATAAAATCACCTCATTAGGAGCAAATTATGTTCCGAAGTGAATCGAAAACTTGGACGGACGCCCGCCGGCATAATTTGCACGGAGATCATTAATCAAATAATCGAAACTCGCGTATCATGGTCGCGTTGTTGGTAGGTGTGTGTTGCGAGGAGCTGCACGATCGATTTCCAAGCGTGTAAATGCATCGACTCGGGGCACCGCAGACGAAGATCGTGAACGAGCCTTGCCGGTGGTGTCCACTTAGTCTACAGGCATTAATCTCCTCGTAAACTCGATGGGGCTATAAAATGCTGGCCACGGCCATTGTCAGGGCCCCGACATCGGTGCTCCTCTATTTTTCTGACCGCGGTAGCGTTCGTTTTAAATTCAATTTGAAACGGAGAACGATCGGAACGCGCACGCACTTATAATTACTTAATAATGTTTTAAAATTGATAAAATATTCTTTGTTACATTTCAATATTATTTTTCAGCTCCTATTATTTTCATAGAACTCTTCATATTTATTCTGTATAAAATTTAAAGTAGTAGTCGCTTTAATAGAAGTTTTTAATATTCGTTTCAATAGATTTTCTAGCTATTTTGAAGCATTTTATGTATGAATTTTTGGTATAGCCTGACATTTGTTTTTTTTCGTTCCAGATTATCAATTCCCAATTGATGTTTCCGGCGTAGCGAAAGACCATCCTTTCCTCGAGGCTGATTCTTTGCAGAGCCTATTTCGACGATTGCACGCACTTAATAGGTGCGCCAATATGAAGATCGATACGCACCACACACACAGTACTAGTCACAACAAAAGCGTAAGTACAAGAAATTTTTGTTTAAAACAGCATTACAAATGCAGTATGAGAAAGTAAAGAAGAATGCATTACAACGTACTTTTGAATGGAAAGAATTACATGAAAGCTTTCCTTCATTTCATTTTCGTGTTACATTCCTTTTACCGCGTCTTGAGATTCTATACATATAGTTCCTGGAAGAAATTCGTTCCTCGTTTTCAAGTGTACCTTTTTATACTGAGAACGGAGATGTAAAGGAGAGAGGATCTCGAAAAGCGGAAATACCAGTCTAGATCAAGAATATCAGGATAGAGAGAGAGTCATAGACCGGCTGCGACAAGGGTTCCTCTACCTAAAACCGCTTCTTAGAATCCCACGATTTTCAGGCACAGCCCTTTCAAGGATCGCGTCCCTTCTTGAACTTCCGTGCCGCGCCGAGATTATCTGTTTGAACGCGATTTTCGTTCTTCAATTTTCAGAAAAGTTTCTCGGCCGTTCGGTTCCCAAAAAGGTTCGTCATCCAACTCCGTCCGTTCGTTATCGCGTTGCTAAAGAAATATCCTGATTTCTCTAAGGTTAGAGGAATGTCAAATATTTGACGTTTATGTGAAAGAGCAAATTTGTTTGGTAAAAGTTCCCTTGCAGTTCATCATTTTAGTTAATTAGATATTAGTTACGGTAATATTGTAAAAATTTGTAAAAACTTTTAACAGC